CACCAAATCTTTGGTGATGAGCTTCCTGGGATCCCCAAAGATTACATGCCTCTTTCCATCATAGACACCCAAAACATTCAGGAATTCCCAGACCTTCTCTTCAGCTGCCCGCTTGCCTTTCACATAGATCAAGCCCAGGAGAGGCATCAAGAGGCCATTCCTGGGAAACCCACTGCTACCACAGAGACTCTCTTCCTTGCTAATTTCCCATTTGCTGACAATGGCATAGTATTGACCCTTGGAGTTGACTTCCTTCAGGTCAAGGGCAAAGATTGCTTCAATGCGCTCAGAGGCTCTCCTCAGGATCTCAGGGAATTGCTCCTTGAACTTTTTGTTGATGACCTTTATCATTTCTGCCTTGGAAATGGGCTCTTTGGTTTTATACTTCTCCAGCAGAAAGTCCAACAACCTGCACACACTCTTGCGGAGAGGATCTCTTTGTGAGCTCTCAGTGGTGGGTGGGGCCTGAGAGGAACTTGAACTTCCCTCCTCTTGGCCCTCTGCACCTTCACCAGCTCTTGTGCAGGACACCCAGGCGGCATCAGTGGTGATGGGTGGGACTCTCTCAGGCCCCTGGGGAAAGCCAGCAGCAGGGAAGCTCTGGGGAGAACTCCCAAGAGGAGGAGAGGAGGAGTAGGGAGACCCCTTCTCCTCTCCTGTAGTGGCCTGAGCACCCTCAAGACTGTGGGTATCACCTTGGGCCTCAAGTTGGGCCTCACCTCGGGCCTGGCGACGTTTCTCACGGGCACGGAGCTTACTCTTCTGACCACGAGGCATGATGATTCTGGTCTAGGAGAGCAGGCAGGAATGTGGGAGCAGGACTGGTGATACGAGCCCACTGGAAAAGTAAGATGGAGAGAGTGTGAGCCCCTTCAGCAGGGAGATGCCTCTTTGGCTTTAACAATGGCTGCATACACAGGATTCTTGGAGGGTGCTATTCTCAGAACACAGAAGGCTTCAGATGTGATCAGCCTGTCCTGACAACCATGTGGAGGAACTTAGGGTGAGGCTTAGTTTGCAGTTGCCAGCAGGGCCTCACACTGGGGACCTTCTCTATTGGGGTAGTGGGAGTCTACTAAGTTCACTTTCAGGGCCATTGGATCAACAGTTGGCAGAGTTTGGGCCTTGTCCTCTGTGCTTCCCTGAATTTGATGCCTCAAATCCCCTTGGGTGCCTTGGCTGAATTTAAGGAGCAACTTAGCTCTCACCTCTTGGAGGTTATCTTAGTGATGACAGGAAAGTGGGACTGTTCTGTCCTGGGTTGCTTGGAGGCCTCTGTCCACCTCCAGAGTCCTTCTCCTGACTCTGTAACAACTTGGAAGTCCTCCCTGTCTTGGATAAGACCTATCTACTCATCCCAGGGCCCTCAGCTTACAGAGATCTCTTATAGAGAATAAATGTTTGCTTCATCTGGCTACAAATGCCTGTGGTTTTTCCAAGGCTGACAGTAACGGAGGGATTCTGCATTGCCTCCAATTAGGGTGATTCCCTCAATCCTCAGCATCCTCACCTTGAGTATTTCTAAGCTCTGAAAGTCCTCCTGTGCTTACCTTAGGATGCCCCTTTGACCTGATCCCTCAACTACCTGAGATGCCTGGGGAGGACAGGAATGTGATTTACTATATCAGTATGGCCATATTCCCCAGGGCTGAAAGCAGGGGTGAGGCTTTATGGTTCCCCCATGTATGAATAAAAAAGATACTGATAGAATATTATGAAGAACTGTACTACAACAGAGTCAAGAACCTAGCAGAGATGGACAGGTTTCTATAAACGTAAGACCTACCTAAACTATTCCAGTCAGAGATAG